GAGAAGCTTGAGTGGGAAAGGCCGTTCTTCATTCGCTGTTCAGGTGAGGAGGGTGTGTCCCACCGCCTGGCGAGTAGCTTGCTAGAACCCCCATGTGGGACTGCACAGAAGATAGATGATGAAAACAAAGTTGCACTTACCTGTAACCATTGTTCATTAACTATCTTCTGTGCAGGCACACGTACCCTCCGTCCTGCTCCACACTTTGACAGCGTTAGAGGTCCTGAAGGTGGGGGTGCTGCTGCGTGGGAGCACGTGGTCCCTGGGTGGGAACAAGCTTCTGGCTCCGGCGCACAGCACCCCCTGGAGGCTTTTAGCTGTAAAAACCCCCCCGATGGCAGGGGACTGCTCATGCACAGTCCCCCCCCCCCGTGTGTCTGCACAGAAGATACTTAATGAACAATAGTTACAACTGAGTGCAACTTAGTTTTCCATAGGGAGGGGTGCTTAAGGAAAATACTGTGTAGCAGTGACCAATGTTCCCTCTAAGCGGTGGAGTCATGTGAGCAAAAATTCTACTTTGTGAGCGACTGGCATTCAAGTGGTGAGCGAGCAGTTTGGCTACTGCATAAATTTCTTTGCTCTGGAGCCACATCCCTTCCTGAGCGAAGACAAAAATCTGTGAGCTGGAGGCTAAAAAAATGTGAGCTAGCTCACACTCACTCAGCTTAGAGGGAACACTGGCAGTGAGTGACCTCTCCTTCCTCCGCGATGGTTGTAGAGCTTCGCTTTGAAAGGATGGTGGAGACTTCATGATGAAAGGCTCTCCTGTATGGCAAAGATGTCTTTGGATCTAGCGGTCCCGGAACTAGGCTGTCTGAGGAGTGCTCTGCCTGCTTATTCTTACAACAGCCCTCAGGGGCGGAGGAGGCTTGGCTAAGAGGCCGTGGCTGTCCTGGCGAGCTCTGGTGCCTGAGCAAAGATCTGAACCTGGGTCCTCCTCAGCCAAAGCCCGGTACTCCAGCCACTGGCTTTCAGACTTCACCGGAACTGTGTCTAAGCTTGGGAAAAGAGAGCTGTCTGAACTAAGTTAATGAGAGGCAGCAATGCTCCGGCCGTTCCGTAACCCATGCTCATTTGTTGGATGTGTGAAAGTCCTTGTGGCTTCACTGGGTGTGTGTCTCTGGACACCTGACATTGGTGTTCCAGGCATCACCGCTGCCGAAGAACAGTCCCCTTCCCAGCAGGCGGCATCTGTTGAGCCAGTGAACCGTGGACAGCGAAGGCCTTGGCCTTGCGGAGACAAAGTGTTCCCGCCTTCTCACTGTTGCCTGCCCCATCTCAAGGGCTTAAGGGAGTAAAATTATTTTAAAAAACCAAACCAGATGTATAAAATGTGTATCAGATTCAAACTGGAAAGGGATGCAGGCAACTCCTGGTGGACATATCGGATTAAAACTGAAATCCCCATGCCTGGTGCTGAAAGTTCCATGCCTGAGTATGCATCTCTGTTGGTCAGGTCAGGAGTGAAAAGACGTGATTTGAAAACAGGCAGTTTTCAGGTGTGCAGTTCAGACACAGACACACAAACACAAACCCCCGGTGCCATTTTCCTGGCCTTTTACCCCAGGAAGCCCGTTTTGTCCACGGATCTCACATTCTGAAGGTTCAGCCAGATCCGCATCTTCTTAGTGCCAGTTTCTCTTGCTGGCAGTGGACTGTTCTGTGTAATTCTTTTGGTCATGGGGTGGCGGGAGGGATACAGGTTGTGCCAGACGATGGCCAACCCCCCACCTCCTGACCACTGGAAATGTCGCTGTGTGGGTGATCCACAGTTGTGTATAGCTGTAGGGTGGCATGGAGTCAACACGTGTACTCCAGTTGACTATTCCTGGCTCCCTCCACAGGATCCTGGGAAACAGTAGTCTGAGAATTGCATTGAGTAAACCTTCAGCAGTCGTTGCTCGTGACCACGAACCCCTCTCATAAGAACTACAGTGACCTCAGGAAGGAGAATGGTAAAGCCCGTGGGTGAAGGATTTCACCCGTACTTCCAGATTGGGAAGGCAGGAAAAAAAGACATTTCAGAAGTATGTCTATTAGGGAAGCTGGGGAAAGGGATTGTCTCAGGTTTGGACTGATGGAAAGGGACGACTGGGCCAGAGAAGAAAGGGGCACAGTTTTTTTCTTTGTAGCCAGGCAGAGGCTGGTGCTCTTTATGGGGGATAGCGTCAGCCAAAGAGACAGGAGGAAAGGTAACGTGAAAATAACCTTTGTCCTGGAGGTACTTGTGTGTCTTCCACAACCTTTCCTTCGTATCGGCTTGGGGAGCCTCTTTCTTGCTTTGCACCCCGGTTGACACCCGTTCCTCTCTGCTTGTCTGACCTATTTTGTGTTTGTATGAAAGACTCTTTGATAGGCTGCATCTTCTCCATGCACGTTACTATGGATTTATTTAATCCATTTATCCCCTGTCTTTCTCCCCAGTGGGGATCCGAGGCAGCTTACATCGTTCTCCTCACCTCCAAAAAGCCAGTTATTAATAATAATTTCCCCTCACAACAGCCCTGTGAGGTAGGCGATATAACAAAAAATAACTACACACTATGTGTAGTATGTAAGTGTGTAAGGAGCTGCGGTGGCTCAAGTGGTTAAGACGCTGAACTGCAGGCTGTGGAAGGTCAGTAGTTCAGCAGTTCGAGACCCGAGTTGCCGCAGGACGGAGTGAGCTCCCATCTCTAGCCCCAGCTCCTGCCAACCTAGCAGTTCGAAAGCAAGACATTGCAAGTAGATAAATCGGTACCGCTTCGGTGGGAAGGTAACAGCGTTCTGTGCGCCTTGGCGTTTAGTCATGCCGGCCACATGACCATGGAAACGTCTTCGGACAGCGCTGGCTCTTCGGCTTGGAAACGGAGATGAGCACCGCAACCCTTGAGTCGAACTCGACTGGCTTTCGAGCAAGGAAACGTTTACCTTTACCTTTATGTGTAGTATACTAAATCTGAAAAACACTGCAATGAAGGAATACACACAAACGTTCTATTTGAAGTTACAAAAAACCTTTTATTAGCTATTTCTTAAAGATGCAGTACGAGTACAAGTCGGATTTAAACCACAATACGTATTATACCAAGCTGAGGAGCTGTACTACTGAATCGGCCTTAAGTATCAAGGGAAATAGTAGAGCTCCTCAGCTTGTTACAACGCCTGAATGGTGGGGTGCAGCTGGGAGCAGAGGAGAAGCGCTTGTGCACGTCCTGCAACCCGGCCCCTTCAACACTTACCCCGGTTTGACCATATAAGTACAGCCCGATGAAGGGTTGAAGCGGAGATTTACCAGGGACATCCGTTGTCGTGGTTAATGCTCATGTATTGTGGTTTAGGCTTCACATGTTTAAATCCGACTTGTACTACATCTTTAAAGAATAGTTAATAAGAGGTTTTTTTGTAATTTCAAATAGAATGTTACATAAGAACATAAGAGAAGCCAATGTTGGATCAGGCCAGTGGCCCATCCAGTCCAACACTCTGTGTCACACAGTGGCCAAAACTACCGGGTGCCATCAGGAGGTCCAGCAGTGGGGCCAGGACACCAGAAGCCCTCCCACTGTTGACCCCCCCAGCACCAAGAAGACAGAGCATCCCTTGCCCCAGACCAAGAGTTCCTATCTGTACCTTGTGGCTAATAGCCACCGATGGACCTCTGCTCTCAGCATAAGAACGTAAGAGACGCCAATGTTGGATCAGGCCAAAGGCCCATCCAGTCCAACACTCTGTGGCCAGAAATACCAGGGGCCATCAGGAGGTCCACCAGTGGGGCCAGGACACCAGAAGCCACCAAGAAGACAGAGCATCACTTGCCCCAGAGTCCCTATCTATACCTTGTGGCTAATAGCCACGGATGGACCTCTGCTCCATATGCTTATCTAATTCCCTCTTGAAGCCGTCCATGCTTGCAGCTACCACCACCTCTTGCGGCAGTGAATTCCATGTGTTAATCACTCTTTGGGTGAAGAAGTACTTCCTTTTATCCGTTCTAACCCGACCGCTCAGCAATTTCATGGAGTGCCCACGAGTTCTTGTACTGTGAGAAAGGGAGAAAACTGCTTCTTTCTCAACCTGCTCTGTCCCACGCATAATCTTATAAACCTTGATCACATCACCCCCTCAGCCGTCGTTTCTCCAAGCTAAAGAGCCCCAAGCCCTTCAACCTTTCCTCATAGGGGAAGTTTGTGTGTGTTCCTTCGTTGCACTGTTTTCCAGATTTAGTGTACTGTGCGGTAGGTGAGGCTGAGAGAGGCTGAGTGGCCCCAGGACAGCCAGTGAGCCTCCGTGGCCAGAGCGGGGGTCCCCAGTGCTTGCTTGTGCAGGAGAACACGACGGGTACGTGGATCTCCAGTGCTGATGAAGGACATGGCAGGCGTGAGAGTTGCCAGCGCTGGCTCCTGGGCCCGTGGCCAGTCGCTGTTGCAGAAGATCTCAAACAAGCGGGGCCTTGTGCAGGTTGTGCGTGTGTGCGCACATGCAGTTTGGGGTCTTAGCCCACATCTGCCCTGGCCACTGCGGCCGTGTTCCCTGTCTGGCCAACGATGCCCCGTGTGCCTGAGAAGGTGCCTGTGAGGCGGCCCCTTCCGCAGAGGGAAGGAGCTTTGCCAAGAGAGAGGCCGAATGGCTCTTGCCGTTGCCTTTGGTCAGGGTGTTGCGAAGCCTGGTGGTTTTTGTTGGGCAGCGTTTGTGTCTTGTGGTCATTGGCAAGGAAACCGTTCTCGTTTTCTTCTTGTGCCGGGGACCCTTTGGAAAGAGAGCGGGGCTGCCCGCTTCAGTCTCTGCCATGTCATGCGGGCTGCCTTCATGAGCCCCTCTCTGTGCTTGGAGCCTTCCAGGTTCTGCCTCTGGTTTGCAGTCACCAGTTCCCGTGAGGCCAGATACCCGTGGCACCGTGGTCCTTCCCCGGGGATGGCAGCGGGGCTCCCTCCCGTCACACAAGTGCCAGCATTTTCTCTGCTTCTCTTCTCATCTCTCCTTTTCCTTCTCTCTCTCCCTCTCAATGGTGTGCCCAGAAAAGGAAGTCCAGCTCCAGCGTGCATTTGATGGTGAGCTCCTCCCATTACGCTGACTGTGTCCCCGTGCGGTCACCATTCTCATCCCATGCACGCCCGGCTTGCGCTCATCACCCCACATCAGCATGTCTGGGCAAGGGGGTGGGGCGGAGCGGAGCGGAGCAGCCATCTCGCACTCCGGAGGGTCCATGTTCTCACAGAAAGGATCGTGCTGCTGGTGTGGCCCTCGGCACGGGTCCGAGTCAGTTCCAAAAACTGGAGACTTTCAAAATTCAGCTTTGGATAGCGGGTGGCCTGAGAAGGAGTGTCCCAAAAGCTGGGCCAGATGCCTGCATCCCTCTTCTGGCCCCGGGAAGGCGGGGAGGGGCCTCTGCCCTCTCTCCGTGCGGACATGGAACCTGGGACCCCCTCCGTGGCAGAAGTGCCGAAGGGGACGCCCCCGGCACCTGCTTTGGCACTCTCTCTTCGTGCTGCTGTCCCTGGCAGAGGTGGCCCTGCAGTTCAAAACAAACTGGGCCTTCCCGGTGTCCTGGATGCCGGCTGTGACCCCAAGCTGCCCCTAACCCCCTTTCCCCTTCTAGAATTCCATGCTAAGACTCCCCACCCACCACCCCACCTCACCAACCCCTCTCCAAATTCCAAACAAGCGGCTGTTGTGGGCATGAATGTCCGCGTGGGGTGGCCTCAGTCCCATGCCTGGTGATTTGTTCCATCTGTTTCCTCTTCATGTGTTGGGTGATGAGGGGGAAAGAAGGCCGTGCAATCAAACACGGCGAGAGAAGGAAGTGTCTCCTTATCCCAGGTCACGGGCAACACTCACAGTCCACCCTCCTTCTATAAGGCCTTGTGGATCCTTCAGAACAGTCCCTCTCCTTGGGGTCAAGGAGGCAAACGACCCTGTATGATCTGTTTGTTTATCTCTTTGTTTCATTTCTTTATGGTAATATGTATAACTCTGTACGGGTGATAGCGTCAGCCAAAGAGAAAGGAGGAACGGTAACGTGAAAATAACCTTTGTCCTGGAGGTACTTTTGTGTCTTCCACAACCTTTTCTTCGTATCGGCTTGGGGAGCCTCTTTCTTACCTTGCACCCCCCTTGACACCCACTCCTCTCTGCTTGTCTGACCTATTTTGTGTTTGTATGAAAGACTCTTTGATAGGCTGCATCTTCTCCATGCACGTCACTGTGGATTTATTTAGATAAGGAGGAGGAGAAAATAATTAATTTATAGGACATTATTAAATCAAGGTCAAAATCCGATCCAGATGATTAAAAAGCATTGGGAAATAGAACTGAATACTAAATTTAATGATAAGGATTGGAAACAGATATTTCAACGATTTCCTTTTAAATCAGTTTCAAGAGGTTTACATACATTAAAGGTGTCTCAAAGGTGGGATTATACTCCAGTTAGGATCGCTCATTTGATGAAGATAGTCAAAACTGCTGGAGAGGCTGTGGTGACCTAGGGACCTTTATTCATATGTGGTGGTCATGTCCAATTTTCGGAGATTATTGGAAATTAATATTTGCAGAAATTGGAAAATAATAATTCAGGAACAAATAAAATCCTACTGTTGAAGTAGCATCGCTGAATTTATTTATCAATGAAAACTCCTAATGTATACAGAACCCTCCCCCCCAAAAAAAAATGTATTAGTTGCAGCTGCAATGCTTATTGCCCAATGCTGGAAGGATGCGGAAGGGATTTCTTTGGATAGATGGCGGATTGAATTAAGGAATATAGAGGTACTTGAAAAAATAACAAACAAGATTAGATTAATTCAGGGGAGGAAAAAGAACAACAATTTTAAGGTAATTTGGAATTGTTTTATAAATTATTTAATGAAATTTCCAGAATATAGTTTATTTTAAAATGTCTCTAATTAGATGGAAACCTTTATTTGAAATGTTGACTAAGACACTGAATAGACAGATCACAGGATATTATTTTATAGAAATGGTATTAATGAAAACTATATAAATTTACATCCAGCTAGATGAGAGCACTCCCCCCCCCTTTCTTCTCATTTAAGTATTTATGGCTTTTAAATTTGTTTTATTGTCAGTGTTTTTGAGTTCCTTTCGTTGTAACCTCACCATAATAAGATGGCATTATTCTATACTGGATATGAGGCCACAGGTGGTGTTGTTTGTTGCCCTTGTTGTCGTTATTTGTTCTGTGTATGTATATAAAAAAAAGAACTGCTCTGTTACAGGACCAGGGCTATAGCAAGTGTGTGAGGAGCTCCAAGACCTAGTGAGATAACACCCCACTGTCCGTCTTAACTCATTAGGGACGGGGCATGCCCATAGATCCATTTCAGGGAGCAGTTAATTGTCCTTTAGAAATAGCTTGGTGCAGTCCCGCCAGAGCTGGGAATCGATCACCAGTCCCGCATACAAGCGGCACTGCGGCAGGTCAAGGCCTAACCTTGGGAAGAAGGAAAGGAGGTCCCCCCCCCGAGCAGATGTTCCGGCTGTTGGCTTTTCTAGGCCAGGACCCCAGCCCCTGAGCACACGGAAATAGAGATGTGAAGGCCCAGGAAAAAAACGGAAACATTCGGAAAAAACCCGTCCCCCCACCATGGGGGAAAGGGAAAAAATTGATTATGGAACGTTTTATTTTAACATGATGAATAAAATATTTTAGGACAAGGTGTTCAAATATTTTCCAAATCATTTCTAAAAAATATGTATGGTATCAGATCGATCTAATTTCTGTGCAAGTCCTAGGTTACAAACTGAACTCTCCAATGCAAGAACAAAATGCATTTCTTCCTTTAGGAGGTGCTATTGTCACGAGAAAAGAAAAAGGATTCAGTTTTGTTCTTGCTTGTGGGTGGGTATTCTGTTTGTAATAATTGTTTGGATACACTATAGTTTTAATAGGCTAGTTGTGATCATTTCATGCCAAGTAAAAATGTCCATAGTCATATTCTATGTTCCTAAAGTGACAGAATGACTTTCAATCTAGCTGGGGGGGGGGAAGTGCTAAAGTAGCATTTTTTTCAATTTTCCCAAAAATTTCCGTTCCCCCCCCAAAAAAAAATTGGAAAAAACTTGGGGGGGGGGTTCGAGCGTCAAAATTTCTGGAAATTTTACATCTCTATGCGGAAACTCCCACCTAATGATGAGGCAGAACCTATCCCCACAAAGGGGATACAGATGTAGAATTAGGTGATAGGTATATGAATTCAGTTCTCTGTGCCAGCTAAGGGGCCTTCCTTGGCCTCCCCTTGCAGGAACGAAGGCGAATTCTCAAAGAAGGCCAGACCATTCCTAGTGCGGCCCGTTTGTTCCCTGCAGAGCCTTTCTGTTTCACTGGCAAAGAACGTAAGATGAGCCCTGCCGGACCAGACCGGTGGTCCATCTATTCCAGCATCCTGTCTCACGCAGTGGCCAGCCAGTGACTCTTGGGGGCCAGCAACAGGACATAGAGCAGCAGGGCATAGACGCTGACGCCTTCCTCTGATGTTGCCATGTGGCACTGGCTTCGCACTCGAGAAACTCAGAAAGGCGAGAGGCTGTGGCTCAGTGGCAGAGCATCTGCTTGGCATGCAGAAGGTCCCAGGTTCAGTGCCCGGCATCTCCAGCTGAAGGATTTGTCAGTAGGTGCTATGAAAAGTCCTCTGAGTGAGACCTTGGAGAGCCGCTGCCAGTTGGAGTAGACAGTGCTGACGTTGATGGACAGAGGGTCTGATTCTGTAGAAGGCAGTTTCAGGTGTGTTCATGTGGGGGGGGGAGGGATTTGCCACTACTTGTCTCAAGGAAGCCATCAACCTGAATAGTTCAGCCAGCCAGTGCTGAAGCTGACAGTGAAAGTTCCAGGAGCTGCTTCTGTACCTCTGTTTTTGCTCAAACAGTTTGGTTTAGTGGTTCAGTGCGCGGACTCTCATCTGGGAGAACCGGGTTTGATTCCCCGCTCCTCCACTTGCACCTGCTGGATGACCTTGGGCAAGCCGTAGTTCTGTTAGAAGCTGTTCTTGAAAGGGCAGTTCTTGGGAGAGCTCTCTCAGCCCCACCGACCTCACAGGGCGTCTGTTGTGGGGAGGGGAAGGGAAAGGAGTTTGTAAGCCGCTCTGAGACACCTCTGGGTAGTGAAGGGCGGGGTATAAATCCAATCTCTTCTTCTTAGTGGTTAAGAGCGCGGACTCTAATCTGGGAGAACCGGGTTTGATTCCCCACTCCTCCTCCACTTGCACCTGGCCGAATGACCTTGGGCAAGCCGTAGTTCTGGTAAGAGCTGTCCTTGAAAAAGAGCAGTTTCTGTCAGAGTTCTCTCAGCCCCACCGACCTCACAGGGTGTCTGTTGTGGGGAGGGGAAGGGAAAGGAGTTTGTGAGCCGCTCTGAGACTCCGAGTGAAGGGCAGGGTATCAATCCAGTCTCTTCTCTTCTTCTCTTCAAGCAGTCAGTGACGCAGGGGCTGAGGAGTTAGCCACTCTGTGATCTGCTTTTAATCACACACTAGAATCACAGAGTTGGAAAGGGACATACAGACCCTCTAGTCCAACCCCCTGCCCAATGCAGGAGCAGCCTAAAGCATCCCTGACAAATATTCGCCCAGCCTCTTCTTGAAAGCTGTCAGTGAAGGGGAGCTCACCACCTCCCTGGGCAGCTGATTCCACCTTTGAACCACTCTGACCGTGAAAAAGCGTTTCCTGATATTCAGCCGATACCTTTCTGCATGTGATTTAAACCCATTGCTTCAGGTCCTCTCCTCTGCTGCCCATTGGAACGGCTCCTTGCCCTCCTCCAAAGGACAGCCTTTCAAATATTTACAGAGAGTAATCATGTCCCCCCTCAATCTCCTCTTCTCCACACTAGACATTCCCAGGGCCCTCAGCCTTTCCTCGTAGGGCTCAGTCTCCAGAAAGAAAGGCTGACTGAGAAAGAGAGACTGAGTCTCTCCCTCTTAGTGCATTCCCATTCCTATCTCAACAGCCGAGGTGTCATTCCAGGATCCCAAGCCTGGTGGGCTCGCGTCGCTTTGGCTGGCCTTGAACGTTTTAGGGAGCCTCCTGAAGGCGC